TAACACAGATCTACGGGGGCACATCGTTTAGGACTAGAGGTTGCTACTAGAGACTACTCTATTTGAGACTCCACCTCAAAACCCTCTCGACGCTAAGCATATATCCCAACGGAATAGATAAAATTAAAATATTAATAGGACAAAGGAAAGACAATGATCAATTCTAATCCACGCTTTCAAGTTCAAAACATAGAATAGCTCCTTAAACATAATTCAACATGAATAAGAAAACAGTTAACCAATGTGACTTTATTTGTGAGAAATACCTTTCACATTAATAATGATTATCATAATAAGTTATAAATATTTTCACAATAGCATTTATACTTTACATTCAAATCATCCCCAAATCATTTTTAATCATTTCATAAGATATGCATATCTTCATAATTTAAAATTCATAGTTCATAGATTCATGGGTTCGTCAAAGGTTTATAGTTGAGAAATATTATTTAGGCATTGTTCAATGTAAGTTCAACTAAATATCATGTATTAATATTAAATCATGCATTAGAAGACTTAATCAACAATAATCAAGTATATTTGGATAAAACCGACAAAGATTGAATTGAAACCCTAACTTAGTCAATTAAATATACAATATATAAATTGAAAGCTTTGGATACCCCATGGAAGAATGGATTTTATGGGTGAATACCCACATACCTTGTTATTCAAATACCAAGAAAGATGGTGAATGAGGGACTTGAATGGGATCTTCTCTTCTTCTTCTTCCTTAGGTTGAGAGAACTTGGGGAGGATGAATTTGGTCAAGTATTTAGGGAAACTAGGAGAATGAATTTAAAGCGAGTTATTTGGGACTTAAAAGTTTTATGTAGGACTTAGAATAGAAGGAAAAAATATGTAGTACAAGATTAAAAAAAGACAGAAAAAGATCCAAACACCCCTTTAAAATAATTGTCAGACTCGGCCTACGATTTGGACCTACGAAGCGTAGGACTTTCTACGGTCTGTACCTCGTCAACTTTAGACAAAGTAATGAGACCATGAAATCACCTGTATTTCGTCAAAACACTTCTACAGTTCATAGGTCTTTCTATGGTCCGTAGTAACCAACCGTAGAAACCGATTTTGACTCTCAAAATTCACTAAATTTGGGACTCATCCACTAGACCTATCTATGACTCATACAAATGATGATGTACCGTCCCGATTAACCGTACAAAGGGTACTAGACCTTTTTTGGAGAAAAAAAAGTTTTCCCTTCCTATGATTATCTTATACGGCCCCGGAATCTTCTGTGGTCCAAAAAAAATGTCTTCCTTTTCATAATTCTGAGGTGTTACATCTACGTACCCATTAACATGACTCTACTCAACAGCATGCTCTTAACTTATAGAATCGGTGAATCTAGCACTCTGATACTAATTTGTCATAACTCAAAAGCCAAGGTCATGATGGCACACACCTGGAGAACCCCAAAATAGTGTTTAAGCCAAAAAATAACACATATGAGACTTCCAAAGGAAATTTATGCCACAACTAATAAGAAAACAATAAAGAGGATCTCGAACCCTGGTAGTATAAGTCTAAAGAGTATTTAATACATTTCTAGATTCTGAAATACATCTCAAGTCTTTGAAATGAAATGAAAGATTTTAAATGATATATGGAGACCAATGGAGATCCGGAAAGCATGATCTCACCTTAATTCTGAAAGAGAAGAAACATGTTATATCCATTAAACTGCTACGAAGATCACCCTGACTAAGATCTGCATCAAAAGGATAACATAAGTAGGGGGCCAGTACAATCCACATATACTCAATAGGTTAGACCAACTGAGCAAGGGTAACTAATCTGAATCATGAAATAAACTAAAAAAATATTTTCATCTACACGCAGAAGAGTCTGATTGTAACATCAGTCCCACCAATTTATATAACAATAGCACAAATAAAGTACATACAAAAGGATACAAATATACAAGTGACACAACACAACAAATATGGTCAATGTAACGTAATGAATGATAAGATGACGAAATGATGTGGTGGAACCAAGATCGTTGCATAACATGTTTTATACACATTATCGGGCTTTAGCTTCAAGACAAGGACTCATGGTGGACTTCCAGTCCATAAACCAATCTCATAATTTTTGTTCTCATCAACTTTCCACTTAGATCGTGATTAAGGATATAAGTAAGATGACATATTTTCTTCCTCAAAAATACAATTTCTCCACTTCCTCATATTCCCATGAATGATAATATGTTGAATGAGGTTGAATGCATCACAACACATACAACACAAATACTACACAAAAAAATTAGTGCTTAGCGCGGACAAAATTTGTCACAAATATCTTCTTCCGTCGCTATTTTGGTTAACCGATGAAATAGCTATGGAATTTCATTCGTCGGCATAATGCACGTAGCTAACCATTTAGCAACAAAATAATAAATTCCTCGTAGGTTTAGCGACGGATGCACGATGGGTCTCTTCCGTTGTTAAAACTAACGACCAAAAATACTGTTGATATATTTGGACTTTTTGTCGCAAATTTTGTATGTTATTTCGTCGTGTGATTGTATTGACGACCAAAATTTTGTCGCTAATTTCGTCCCTATAACTTTTCTACATTCCTACCTCTATTTAGCGGCGAAAATGTTATCGTAAATCCGTCGCAAATTCTGTCACCGTTACTTCTTATACATTTCTACCTTCTTATAGCGAGAAAAATATTGTACAAATCTGTCATTATTTCCGTCGTCATTACGTTTTATACATTTCTATTTTTTTCTAGCGACGAAAATAATATCACAAATTCATCGCAAAATTTCAGTCATTACTTTTAATAGCATCAGTGACAAAAATATTATCCCAAAATTATATTCAAACAATTATTATAAAGTTGCAAAATTAAAATTCATCGAAACTTATATTCTACCGATCCAAAACACAAAAAAAAATGACAGTGTATAACCAAGTTTAAAACAACCCCAATGATTATTTTAAAACAAAAATAATATCAAGCCAACAAAACTAAGAGAGATGGGAGAACCACAATCTTCATTAGAAAGTGATGCATTGGCGTCATCAATATTAGCAGGAGTGAGAAGACGGGTGTCATAGGAGTGTTTAGCTGAGTTGAGGTCGAAGGAATCAATCCACGTACGAGGAAGCATGTGACAGTCAAAGAACGAATCAACCGCGTCATAAAGTCATCCAAATTTTCTGTTGTATATGGTATCGAGGATGAAACATTAGATTAGAAGCTGAAGCACCAAAATTCTTACCGTAAAATGATTTTACTTGTGATCTAAGACCATATATCCTTTTTTTTTCCCTCCTGCGGCTTGATAATATGCTTGGATTTCATCAACATTAGATTAAATTTGTAATATTTATTAAAACTAGTTTATGCCGATATTTTAGATAACTTTTTATTTGCAAATTCAGGTTTATGTTACTCTCTTTTTTAACCCACAGAGAGTGCACAACTTGAACTATTTACTGTGACATATATATATATATATATATATATATATATATATATATATATATATATATATATGAAGACCAGACTATGTCAAGTTCCTTCAGAAACATAAAAATTGTTGGCACCTATTGTGAGCAATTCAACTATTATGATGTCCAAACAATAAGTAGTTGTACACACAACATATATAGCTATAATTCTTTGGTTACAAAAGTGGGGAAAATAGAGGACACTGTTAACTGAAAAAATAAAACGATTTACATAAATTTTTCACCAATGAATATATAAAGTGAATGTAATTGTAAAATTTTGGACTAACATGTACAATTCGAGCTTATTCACCAATAATTGATTTTCCATCATGACCATGTGTATGGACATGCAAATATAGCTCACTTGGTGTTGGCTCTCGGCACTTTTCAATAGCCTATACAAGGAAAAAATTAAAAGCATATGAAAATGTGAAAATACATGGGATATAAAAACGGTTAATGGCAGGTCTCTTTCAATAACCCAATATACTTATTCCTAGTATCTTTAGCCTCAAACAATCTAAAATACTTGGGAAACTTCAAAACCACAGAAAACTCAAAATCATCAGACAATCAAAAATTTTCCTCCGGATGTGCCCATTGTAGAAGCAGTACTACCCCTATAACTGATGACAGAAAAAAATAATATGTTTCATTTTCAGCTATACTTGATGAAATTTTGAATGGATCTACACAACTTCAGATACGAGAATCATTTTCAGCAGACTATTTTTTTTGTTAAGAGCCAGATGAAGAGCAACCCCCTTCATACAAGTAGTCGAACTTAAAAGAATTATATGTAGCACATATTCATGTATATAAACACACTGCCTTATCAAAAAGACACACACACACTCAATCTTAACTCCTAAGTTTCAAATTGACATATAAGTGGCAATGTGTCATAATTAAAAATTTATTATTAGAGCAATCTTCATAATTTTTTTGTTTACATTCAAGCCCTTGAAAGGGACTAAAGAATAAAATAAACTTGTTGTCTATTACTTTATCTTCCCCTCTTTCTTTCCTTTCTTATTAACCAAATACCTCGATAGTAGGAATAAGATGATTTGTAGTTCACTTGGTAGCCAACCTATTATAGATACAATTGTAAAGCTAAATCAAAAAATTCACAACCTCGACGCAGTTTCATTTCCTAACTGTTCTTCCATCATTTCATACAAATCGTACTAATTAATCCAAAAATTTGAAAAGAAGAAAAAATCAATCACTGAAAGACAAAGCACAATCCTGTTCTAAATGGCTTAAAATCTAAAGAATCATTCAATATTTATCAACAAAGAAACATTTTTGGCTGTGGCAGAGAGTTGTCTTGATGAGAATGATTCTCTGGTAGCAATCAAGGTAGGACTGTTGTTACAGTTGATTAACTAGCAAATTAATTTGAGCCTTATTTTCTAGGCTATTAATCTATTTTTTTTATGAAGGTTTACCTGTAGTTATCGTTTTTTAATTCTCAAGATCAAATATCAAAGCTGAAAATTGGTTGAACAATTGTAGGAAATGCATCAATAATATGATGATATATCTCAATGTTACAAAGAGAAGGCTCAAATGCAAGAACTGTCTGTTCTTTCCCATGAAAGTATTAAGGAGGAAGCATTTTCTAGTCTCGAATTGTGGGATTGCAAACTTAATACAAAGGCACTTCAGCGATCCGAAGGGTTAAGATCACACATATAAAATAGATTTATGTTTTGACCGCCACACTGATTTTTTGAGTTCATTTTTTAACTTTTCAATAACCTTGGGATCTTTTCAAAGTCTCAACCGACTTTTCCATGTTTCTTTCGGAACATATCTTGGCCGAACTGCATCTATCTTTTTTTAAGCAAGAAATCAGTGTTCCTTCTCGCAACTTTAGTATCTTCACTTCACTATCAATGGAAGGATCCCAACAAAATTCCTTCTAAAATAATTTTATAAGTAAACAACATTAGTATTTAACCTTCAAAAGTGATATAATATGTTTTATTAAAATGGTGACATATATACCTCGAATTCTCTGAGATAAAAATCTTTTATTTCTTGTGAGACACTTTTCAATTAATTCCATTAGGATCAAGTTTACTCTTGAAAGACTCCCCTATCCTGTTAGAGCAAATATTTGATGGTTCCAAAATGACAAAAATATATTATATGAAGTCTATCATGAAGAAATTACAGTATATTAATAACAATAGTGCAAGTATAAACTTACGCGAAGGAAAAACAAGTGTCCGCTGTCCAGAATTATTATTACTCTCACCTTCACCTATTGTGTTGTTCCGGCTAGATGTAGGCACCTCCCCTATCACATTTCTTTGAGTAGATGCACTTTCGCGTATTCCATTGCTCTGATTAGATATTACATGACGTGTTTCAAAATGAACAGATGGAGTACTACCATGAGCTGTTGTTTGAGCAGGAGGCGAATTAGTAGGAGCTAATGTTTGATTTTGGTTGACATAATCTGGTCCAGCAGAAGAATTGATACCACCTTGTTGAGAATTAGTTATGAGAATTGGAACAGTAGGCATATAAACTCTAGTTGTGCTACCTCGACCTGTAATTGAGGTCTTGCTTGCACGAGTTGTGTTACCTCGACCTCTGCCTCACTTCATGCCTACAAGAAAAATAACTTCAAGTATGCATAAGCCTATACATTTCCAAAGAAAAGAAGGAAAAGAAAAAAAAAACTTATCCAACTGGAGTAGCTACATTGCAGATCATTACACTGCAACTTGCAATCACAATACTTCTGTTAACCCAAGTGGAGTAGCTAAGCAGCAAGCAACTAATAGTCACCCTCTACTTCTCTCGGACTTTCTTTTCTCTCAGTGCTTTAGTTTATGCAGCACTTATTCAGTGTTGATAGTCCAGTACTTAAGTCTACGGTTTTTTTTATGGAAAGTCATATTTTTTAGGGAAAAATTCAAAATCAAAAGTACACTAGAAAAACTAACAAATAGTTGATTGGAGACAAACATTGAATTTCATCAGAACTCAGGAAATCAGACCATCATTCAGTTACAATGAAGCCAACTGATCAGCAACTTCATATCCTACTGTACAACTAAAGCAAGAATGGATTCATATCTACTATTATATTGAGTATCTCAGGTAAAGTTATGGCTCTTTAATTATCATTAGCATGATCAATACCAACTCTAATGTTACTTGACAAGTAGATCATATCAGCAGGGACATCAATTACTTGAAGATTCAAGAAAACTACACCTTTGGAAAGTGAAAAACATTGTTGATGGTCTTACCATTTTGGGAGAAAACACAAAGCAGAATACAATCTTCACACAGGATGTGAATCTTCCTTTGAGAATTTAAAACTAGTTGAAGAATGATATTCTCAAATACCTAACTTTCATACTCAGAGCACAAAAAAAAATTGCATGATTAACAAAATAGTTTGCTAATATTGGAATTGACATATAACGAAATATTACAACATCATAAAGCATTATGTTTAGTATGATTCACTAGGCAGAAATTTGCATCCAAAACATAGTCTATCAACCAAAGTTACTGAAGATACAATAGCACATTTCTAACAATTTATTGTACCTTGACTAAAACAGAAAAAGAGCATTTTTACCCACAATAAAAATAAAAAAAAATAGATCCTTCAACAAGATAAATATAAATGCAAAAATTAGGATAGATAATAGGTACTTTATTGTCACCATAACTATAAAATCAGAAAAAGGTGATCAAGAGTACTATAGATGAACCAGAGATGAAATAACCACAAAATTTTAGACATTAATAGAAACTATTGTTACCTTTTGATGAACCAACAACAATAAAACAAGCTTTCCATATAGCAACGAGTAGAAACGATCTGCAAAGAGGAAGATGAGCTCGATCGGAATTTCTTCCTAGAGTGAAACACACAACGACCAACAAAGAGGAAGATGATCTTGATCGATTCTCTTCCCACAGATAGCCTGCTCTGTATGTGTAGCAATGAGCAGCAAAGAGAAAGAAAGTGAGTGAGTCAATTCGTGCCCTAGGAATATTTTGTGTAGCAATGAGCAGCAAAGAGGAAGAGAGTGAGTGATTAAATTTGTGTGAAAGGGTTTTGTGCCCTAGGAAATTTGTATTAAAAGATAACGATGCTTAATCTGTAACATTACCCACAAATAATTCGTCGATGATTCCGTCGCTAACACTTAAATGTAGTGATGAAAAGAAGTTTATGGTGAATTCCGTTGGCAATTATTTAATTTATTATAAAAAAAGTAGAGGCGTCAAATTTTAGCACCTAAATTTAGTGACGATTTATGTTTTTGTCGCTATTTTTTCATTAATTTAGGTTCCAATATATTATTCGATAATTTAGCGACCAATTTATATTTTCATAGCTAATTCGTCGTTATTTAGCGACGAAATATTGTTTGTCACTATAATTCGTTGCTAAATGTTGTTTTTTGTAGTGAAAGTCGTTATTAATTATAAAAAAAATTGAATACTATAAAGTTTTCAGACTCAGCAAGTCACGGAATACGTGTCAAATGATGGATAGTGGAAGAATCCATTTAAAATCAGTTTTTACCACTTCGAAAAGCATTTCTTTCATTTTAAAATATTTCAAAATCAATTTAAGCCCCTAATTCGGGAATCTCAATGCCAAATATAAGGATAAGTAACACGTCCCTCATTCGGGCAATTACTTACATATCACAAGTTTTCAGCAACAATTATTTATTTCACACGAGCCTCTACACGAGATAAACGTCACAAATAGACATCACACAAACTAAATAAGAATTTCAACAATTAACAACCGCTAAAACACATACTATAACTCATTTCATAGTTAGACTTCCTATGAAAAGATCACTTACTCATTTTAGTCTAAAAGAAGGACAACAAAACTTACCTCAAAACCCAAAACTTCACTCGTACAACTCTATCCAAGCATTTCCTCAACTACACGATCACCAAAATGATCCCCCCAACTATAAAGAATAGAAAGAGTTCATCAAAAGGAACTCAATGATACCCATTGATAGAATTAAAACTTGATAAATAAAAAATCACTTTGTACATCAAAAGGGTAAACTCAGATTATTATTTTTAGTTGAAAAAATATATTTTACAAGCCGATAGGGATTTGTGCTTAAAATCCAATTAAAAACAAGCAAGAATCGAGCTCCAAATCAAGAATTTACTAATTTCCAACTTAGTAGAGAAATCCCAAAACTCACTTTAAAATCAAAGTTAAAAAATATTTTTTCGAAGATACAAATTGATGAAATCAACAAAGGATTGATAGCGAAATCGTACCCACACAAATTTTTACAAAAGGCAGACAAGAAATTGCCTCCCAAAAGCTCTAAAAAATGAAAATGGTGGAAATGAATTTTTTTTGGAAAAATCATGAATTTTAGGTGTTGTCCATGTGAAAAATGGTCATCACGATCGCAAGCCACTAACTCTCGTGATTGCAATGGACACAAGGACACGAAGTTTCACTTCGCGATCGCAAGGCCCTTGTCCCTGGTCATGAAGGCTATGTAAGGCTTCATCGTGAACACGAGGCCCCACGGTTGAGATCGCGAGCGAAGGTCAACATGCCCTACATTAGAAACTGAAATCCAGCAACTCATCATAAGAAAAAATGCCTCTGAACGGATCCTGAAAAATCGTTCAGAGTTCGATAAAAATAAATTGGACATGATATCCTACTAAATTTGGCATCCCAAATTCAATGGAGTCATCAAATTTTTTAAAAGAGGTTAAATGATAAAATTACCCTCCTCCTGGATCATTTGTTAGGCTTAAAGCCCAACTTTTCATCTAAATGTCAAGGTCTCAAAAAACTTACCAATCACCTTACTAGTTCCGTGTCAATGTTTCGGATATGATAGAAGTGATACAATTCATCCGATGCTTGAAGCTATAAATGTTGACTTAAGTCAACCATACCAAGAATTGTCAACTCAAAAGGGTCAAAATCACCAAAACCACTCAAACACCACACTAACCATTCCGCAACACAAACAAGCATGTAAACACTAGCGGGAGGGCAAAATAAGACATTATAAATAACTTTAAAATGAGAAATTATAAATAACTTATTATCAACAATTTGCATCCAAATTTATCAGGTAATTAATTTGATGTCCAAGATTTATTATTCATTTAATAATATCTAGGGGTTTACACGTATGTATGCAAGACATGAAAGTTGTTATCGTTGTTTTTAATACATGTGTGTTATTTTTATATTCAAAATGTTTAAAATAATATTTTTTTATAATTTGACAATGTCTCACAAAACATATTTTTAATTAAGAACAACAAAATTTAAAAACTTTTGTTCAACCAACTAGAATATATAATAAATTAAAATAAAAAATATTATAAAAATATAACAATAGAACTAAACGACCCCTTAGAACACCAATTTAATTTAACACGTTCAGAAAAGAGACGAAGACGTGAAAGAAAAAGAGTGGGAATGGGATGGAACAAAAAACAAAAACAAATAATATGCATTCCTCATTTTATTTTATTTTTAGACGAATATTCCAAATTTATGAGATGATTTGGTATACACGCGTACTCCCCACGTGTTGAAATTCCTTTCCCGCGTTAACGTGTTCCTTCTTCATTGGTTTAATGACACCACACCTCTCCTTTTCTTAATTTACTACTCCTTTGTCCCATTGTTTAATTAGGCCCCAAGTTTAAGAAAAAAAAAGTGAATACTTTTAGAAAGTGTGGCAAAAGTTTACGATGTTGTAAATCATTTTGATTGAAAATAAAATATATATTTTATAATTAAATTATTAATTAAAATAGAAATATATTATTATTTTTGAAAAAAGTAAGTTACAAAAATTAAGATAGAGAAAGTACATTATTTGTTTCATTTTGTATGTGCAGCGTTTGACTTTATGATTTTATAATTAAAAATTATTTTGCTAAGAATAAAATAATTATTATTTTAAATTATAGCAAAATGATATATTTTAAAAAATTAAATGAAAAATGTATAAATAGAAGGGAGGGATTAGATTTTATCATTTCCTTCTTTCCTCTGTTTTATTGCTTATTAGGAAACTATAATATATATATATATATATATATATATATATATACACATATTTATTTCTGTCTTTTTTTAAAAAAAAGAAATGGCGGTGACTAGGAAATATAAGGTGAAAATCAGGCCATTGAAGGTAGAATTAGAAGTTGATGATTTCGATAAAGAAAATGAAGAATCAAGAAAGGTGAAGATGATGACAATAGAGGTGAAGTGGAAAGGAGAATCGAAGTTTGGTTTAGTCCAATTTTATAAATATAAGAAAGATTTCACAAGTCGGAGATTTATGAAAGATAATTGTGTTAAATGGGATAATGATGCAGATGAGTTTGAGAATGTTTGTTGTTTTACAGAGAATCAGAGTCTGAAGAAATACTCGGCCTGGGATGTTACGTTTAATGTTTTGTATGCAACTAATTTCCAGAAAATGATGTTGATTGGGAAAGTGGTAGTTAATGTAGCTGAATTGGGTGCAAGAAGAATGTGTTTTGTACAAGAGAAGGTTCCCATAACTTTAAATATTGGTAAAACTTCCATATCAGCTATGCTACATGTAAGTTTCATATCATCTTCTTCTTCATTATCTACATCAATTCAAAAATCTATTCTAGTGCGATTGATCAACCTCTTAGCTTACAACTTCAACCTCAACAATTACTTCTTTCTCCTGACACGTTTCGTTTTTTCCACAATCGAAATTCAATTTTTCGATTATTTCTTAGGACAAAATTACTTAAAATGTGTAATCAAAGTACGTGTGCTCACACGATTTCACAATAGAATTAGTTTTATTTTCATAATTCATCAAACTTTTAAGCTTTTTTTTTTTTTGACAAGTCAAATATTTGAGCCTAATTATGAACAAATGTTGCTGTGGATTTACTAGTCTTATATATTTTTAATAAACTAAGCAAAAGTGAACAGCTAAATTTAGCTGACTAATTCCGTTGAGCGTGATAATGTAATCAGTTATTTATGTTTTCCAATGAACATAGTTTTCTAGAAAATAAATAAATCATGTCATCGTGTGAAAAGGAATTTTTAAATAAATACAAGGAGGCCTTGTTGTATTTTTAATTATCCATCTGTTGTGATGATTAATATTTTTCTGACTTTGTCAAATTTAAATAACTCCAGGTCAACATAACATTTGGTGAGATCAAAGACTCGGTAGAGTCGAGACAGCTGAAATGGTTATCAAAGAGTAGTAGCGTATGTGAGAGAAAGTTGGATGAATCATCTACATTTGAAGCAGAGGTACCCAAGGGGATTGAGTCGAGCTCACAAACTCAACCTGACTTAGTCAAGAAAGTTGGGTGGTTCTCTTGGAAGAGAAGGCGATTAAGTCGAGAAGAAGCATTGATTAACAGGAGTTGTAGCTTTGGTGTTGAGTCGCCACTCAATCAACAGGTACATTTACAAAAACACATTAAGGACTCAGTCCTATATTTGTTTAATTTAATAGCTTGGTCAAAAAGGGATTTGGTTCAACTATAATTTATTTATTCTCATTACTTACAATAATTGGAATGATAATAATACATATGAATAATAGTAATAAGAAGAAGAATGGTACAAATTCAATTTTGGCAACTTTGTCTTGAAACGTTTCTGCAATTTAATATTACAATCAAACAAGTTTGAGATGGATAAAAGTTAGGCGAAAACAAAGTTACAGGTCTTGGAAATTGCCAATTTAGAAAGAAGATCAATGATCCCATGCTGTCCAAAGTTGGGCAAAAAACAAATGTACAGGATAAGTTGGCAAGTCGATGTCTTCCAAGATTGATTTTGTCCAAATATATGTGTTGTCATTATCGTCTATTATATATATAAAAATAAGTCGGAACAAGTCAAGGTCATATTTCACAAAAAATAAATAGTTGAACATCTTTGGTTGTGAGCTGTATATTCATCTGAACTTTTGGCTCTTTGTTGTAGGCTATGTCATAAAGAATGACATACTTTCTTTTTTAGTTTGTTTAAAAAAGAATGATCTTTTTCCTTTTATGGTAATACTATAATGTCAACTTTCACGTGACATGTTTCACATAACAAAATTGAAGGACATTTTTGTATATTCGATAAAAATTTAATTTAAGATCACAAAATTGAAAAGTCATTTTAATTTTCTTAACTTTATGTAAAGTCGAACCAGGTAATTCTTTTTTAAAAGGATGGAATAATAATAATAAAAAAAAAAAAACAATGAGTCGATTCTGTGATGTTTAGGCTGGATAAAACTACATCCCTTCTGATACTTGTGCATTTTTCACTAACAGAATGTAGAGAAGCCTGGCCCTTGTGGTGCTGAATCAAGGGACCAAAATGAAGGCAGCAGAAAAAAGCCTGATTGGGAAGTTACAGAACTACAGAGTAGGGATAGGCAAACGAAGCTCAAAACCGATGTCTTCTTTGCATCTTTCGACCAATGTAGCGACAAGGCTGCTGGAGAGAGTGCATGCACAGCACTAGTAGTTGTTTTCTCCCATTGGCTGCAATCAAATAGAGATGCAATGCCCACGAGATCAGAATTTGATTACCTCATACTACATGGTTCTAGCGAATGGAGAAAGCTATGCCAAAATGATACTTACATCAATGATTTCCCAAACAAGCACTTTGATTTAGAGACTGTTCTGCATGCTGGTATTCGACCTATATACATCTCGCATGATCAATCATTTGTTGGATTCTTCAGCCCGGAGAAATTTGACTCATTACAAGGGGTAATGTCATTTGATCAAATATGGGACAAGATTAGTAGTGTCACTGCAGATGGTATTGAATTTGAACCTAAAGTTTATATCATAAGTTGGAACGACCATTTCTTCATATTGAAGGTGGAAGCAAATGCTTATTACATTATTGATACATTGGGAGAAAGGCTATATGAGGGTTGCAGCAATGCATATATTTTAAGGTTTGACGATAACAGTATGATATATGAGAATATTGTTGCAGAAGAAGAGAAGTCACAGAAAAATGATAAGGAAGAGATGATATGGAAGGGGAAAGAATGCTGCAGAGAATTCATCAAGAGATTTCTCGCGGCTATCCCTCTAAAGGAAGTGGAGGAGCAAGAGAAAAAGGAGACAGTTTCTTATGTCTCGCTTCATCATCGTTTGCAGATAGAGTTCAACTTGAGCTATTTGTTGTCTTCTTCGTCATCGTCTTTGACATCATCACCTTTCTCTTCTTCTTCTACTACTTCTACACTTTAGGATATTGTACATTTAATTTTCCTAGTAGTGTGTATCTGTATTAAAAAACTGTAGGAAATATTGAAGGAAAAATAATATCTTTAGAAAATGCTCATGTTTATTATAGGCTAGTTAAGGTCAATTGAGATGATTACAATCATCAACTCCATCACTATTTATACTACTCAAAATAGAAAACCTAAAGTCTTGCACAAATAACTAAATACATGTATCACAATTTATTAGATACATGTACTACGAAATTCTAAAGAGACTTATTGAAAAACTAAGAGAATTTTGGAAGACTAAACATTGATGCATTAATTCCAACACTCCCCCTGAATGCATTTGCTTGATAACTCCAATGCGTTCTCGAACATAGCAAAATTTTTCTCTAGGAAGTGCTTTGGTGAAGCTGTCAGCAAGTTGTTCTCTTGTCTGACAATAATGCAACTGAATTTCACCTTTCTCTTATGCTTCTCGGATAAAATGATACTTGATGGAAATATGCTTTAAACTTTCATGGCTGACTGGATTTTTGGCAATTGCAATTGCTGATTTGTTATCACAATACAGAACAGTCCTTTTTTTTTGTTTTTCACCAATGTCTTCAAATATTCTCCTAAGCCAAATAGCTTGAGAAGTAGCCTTGGATGCTGAAACATATTCTGCTTCGGCAGTGGATTGAGAAACAACACTTTGCTTTTTTGATAACCAAGAACAAATACTTAATTCAAATAAGAAAACATAACCAGAAGTACTCTTCATGTCATCTATACTTCCAGCCCAATCACTATCAGAATAACCAATTAAGTTCAAATCTCCACCAAATTTGTACATTATCCCATAATCCATTGTTCCTTGCAAGTAGTGTAGAACACGCTTTGTAGTTCCAAAATGCATTTGGCTTGGTTCTTACATGAATCTGGATAACAAACTAGCAGCAAACATAATATCTGGCCTTGTTGAAGTAAGATATAGAAAACTTTCAATCAAACTCCTATAAAGTGAGCTATTAACTTTTTTTTCTCCATCATTTTTTCTAAACTTCTCATTTGTTGCTAATGGTATTGTAACAATCCTACAAAAATCGAATAGATAAATACTTAATGTGATTTAATTATTATTTAAATATCTAAAATTTTAAGGGCATAATGGTCATTTCACGTATGAATTAAAATAAATCAGATTTGTGTAAATTTAGTTAAATCCTATGTTGACTAAGTCTAGAATTAAAACTCCTAAATCTATGCTAACACTCTCCTAATCACGTTTATCACCTCTCCACGTTCAAATAAGAACTCTCTTGTACTCTCTGCCAAGAATAACGTGAAGAACAGAAAGTTTAACCAAGTTTCTTCAAACTTGAAGAACTCACATGAAATTTTAAGAAAAATAAAGTAACCAAAATGTAAAGGCAAGGAGAAGATTTTGGGCAGCAACTTCACGTTTGATCAAGCAAATTAAGATATCGGTTTCTCTCCTGGAATTCTTTCTCCAAGAGTATTTTCCTTCGAACGATTCTCAAGTCTTAAAAACTAAGGTTGTTTCCCTTTGTATGTCCTTATCATTAGCTTCCAAACGAATACGTAGGATGGGTATGTTGTGCTGCTAGATTTAGGTATGAATGATGTATTTATATTAATTGTGGACATGTTTATGTGATGGAAATTGTAAAAGAAAAAAAAACAATATTCAAAGTATGATCGAAAAATTGGTGTGTGTGTATTCATGTGGGCTGTGGCTTTGGCCACTGTTTTGGGGTTGTATGAATCATGTATTTCTTGTGAATTTTATGTGTACAATGTGATGTTCATTACCATGAGTATGGTGGATTGAAATAACCACCTTTTAGACAAATAAACTTATGAACAATGTGACTAAAAATGAGTTGAATAATGACAAGAAATTTCTAGATTTCGATACTCTATGAAAATGTTGAAATCTTGGTTTTAAAAAGTGAATATTAAATAAATGAGGTCAATGAGAATTGAACCCAAGACCTCACAGGTTAAGATGGATGGAAAAAAGAAAAAAAAAAGAAGGGGCTAAGAGGAATCGAACCCCTTAGCTACTGGTTTCGTTTGAAAAAAAAAAGAAACAGGGCTGGGGGGAATCGAACCCTTGGCCCCTGTCTTGCGCGAGAAAAAGGAAAAGAAAATGGGGCTGGGCGGATCCAACTCGCGACCTGGAGGAAAGAGGAGGAGGAAATTAATTCAGCAAACAAATGGGAGGCGTGGGATTCGAACCCATGACCTCCAGCTACGCGGGAAAGAAAAAAAAGAGATGTGTGGCGTGGGGATCGAACCCATGACCTCAGTGCTGAAAGGAGAAGCAAAATAATAAGGAAATAAAGCGAGGCTGTGGGGATTCGATCCCACAACCTCACTCTTGCTCGCCCCATTTAAATAAAATAAAGATAGAGGGGTTGTGTGGGTTCGAACCCACCACATCACAGCCTCCTCAGCGAAAATAAATTAAAAAGGGGGGGGGATATAAGGGGAGCTGTGGGGTTCGAACCCACAACCTCCCTATTGTAGCGAATTTAACTCTAAAAATCAATGGGGTTGTGGGGGGCTCGAACCCCCAACCTTTCATGTAGATGTTGAGATTTAACTTAAAATTCTAATTAAATTAGAAAATTAATCCCTTCATGTAAATGTTGAGATTTGATTTAGAATTCTAATTAAAATAGAAAATTAATCCCTTCATGTAAATGTTGAGATTTAATTTAGAATTCTAATTAAAATAGAAATTTGATCCCTTCATAAAAATGTTGAAATTTCATTTAGAATTCTAATTAAAATAGAAAAATTAATCCCTTCATGTAAATGATGGGATTTAATTTAGAATTCTAATTAAAATAGAAAATTAATCATATCATGTAAATGTTGAGATTTAATTTAGAGTTCTAAAGTTATGAAAATTAGAAATAAAATCAATGAAAAATATAAATGATATCCAAGTGGTTCAAGATTTGGGTTTCTGTGCCCAAACTTCCGTATTGATACATAAGTTATACGTGAATAAAAAATATCCAAGAGTAATGCCATCTACTTACATCAAAAATCAAGATCTTGGCATATATACAAGATACATAAGTCTTGTAATAGATAATCTAAAGAAAGTAAGAATCACTTAGCGAACTATGAATAAAACCCCATTGCTTGTATGTATAGACACATAAGTCTAACATACGTTCAAAAATAAAGTGAACCTAAGATGTACATAATGAAATGATGAACCTTAGGAGAGTTAAGTACGAGTGTAAGATACACTAAATGGCCAAGTGCATTGGCATATGATGAGATGAACTATGAAATGAAGAAATGAACATTCACGTAATAAGAGGTGAGTAACTATGAATAACAAAGGTGTTAGTAATGAAGATTGTGGTGACAATCATGATGTGAGGATAATGTATATGATGAGAGCAATCTCAAATGAGCCTAAGTAAATGTTACTAATATGTACTCACCAATGAGAGTGTAAGATAATGAAGAGACCAGTCTCTATGAACACTCTAATGAAAATATTGAGTTTAAAATACTTAATACTAATGATGAGATGAGAAAATAATCTAATGAGTTATGTTGTCCTCATACTATAAGTCAACTTTCATGATGTATGAGTTGAATGTAATGGAACTTTATACTAAGCACCGATAGGCTAGTTATGAGCGGTGATGCCTTCTTTCGGGAAGGGCGAAGGTTCAAGTAATTCTCATGAGATGAGACTGTCCGGCTTGCCTGGTATGGGTCTCCATACATCTCCCAGTCTTTGGACCTATACTGCCAATATAGGGATCTGGCGGGGTTAAATTCCCATATACGCTAGCATGTTATTGATTCACTTAGACTGGATTTCATGATGCTCACATGATCTATGTCGTTTAAAGTTAAAGTTCCCAATGAATGAATAAGGTCAGCCTCAAATGGATCATATAAAGAGATAATGATACCGAAGGTGTTAGTATAGGATAATCAGGAGGTGAGCTAAATTCAGGTAATGACATTAGGTTATTCCTGGTCATAACACAACAAACACGATAAAAGTCTTAAACTACATCCTAGGTATAGTTGGTGTTCACACTGGCCTATGAATGAACTAAAATGAAATACGTATGAATAAGTGAAGCAGACTCTTTGTTATCTATAGAAGGCTTCCTAGTTGAGGTCCCATATGTTGAGCTCTCATTTTGGAGAAGTCTTAATGTCAAGTCCATGATAACAAGGTCTCATGGCATATGAATTAATAATATGAAAGAAGTTATGTGTTATATGTTATGTGCTATGATATGTCCTATATGAAGATGTTATGTGTTGTGTGCAATTTGATAATGATAATGATGCATGTTACTCTCATGGCATAACTTTCCTAATCTCAATGTGGCAAGTCTACTAACTTGACTTCCGAAAATCATGTCTCTAGGAAAGAGCTATTCTTTCTCATGCATGTCTTTGGTGTGTGCATGCATATACCCATACTTAGTACAAGTATGTAGTAATTCCATACAAACATCTACTTTTAGGTGTAGGCACAGGTGGGCGGTAGAGCTACAGGTTTGTTGTTGCAGCTATTCGGACGTCAGCATTCATCTGGAGTTTGGTAGGTCCTCATGCTTTCGAGGATGCTACTGTTTTACATTCTAGAGTAGTTTTAGAGTTAAGCTAGTGGAACATGTTTCACTAGCGTTTATTTCCTGTTTTGGTTTAGACTTTGTATTGGTGCTATTTTGGCCATTATACAATTAATACTTAATGAATTATTTCTTTCAGTTGCTTATACCTTTAATGTTAGACGGTTGATGATGAACGATTATGAAATGTTAAGAATGTTTAGAAAGTATGTTTAAAGGATCAAAAGTTCAAAATTTTTCGCTAAAATTAACCTATGTAAAGTAAAGATGACGTAAGTAGGCTTGTTTGCGACCTCTGAGAGGTCAACGATGCCGGTCTCGTCTGGGGTCTAGATTTCAATCGTGACAAAGTTGGTATCAGAGCCCTAGGTTAAATTTCTAGAATAATGAGTTCACATCAACCACATTGAGTAGTTTCTATGTCATAGTAGTGAAGTGCACCACTATCCTGGATTAGAGACTGCATGATG